GTCTCTGCAACCTTTTATCCTATACAACCATCAACGTCGTCGAACTCAAAAATATAAGCGTTAGTGAGGGATCACTACACAAGTCATAACGAGATCTCGAAAAATTATTGTGGTATGCTTTTACACTGTGGTTAATATTATACACAATCACTATAGTCTATATATACCTACTCATATTATTTATAGATTGTAATGAAAATAATGGTAATGTATCATCATCAAGCACAGAAGAAAGTTGCGATGAACATAATTCAAATTTGGTGTTTGAAATTACTTTATCCGTGGATGAGTGGAAAACCATTCAGCCTCGTGATAAAACCTATATTGAAAAACCTAAGCCAAAGAAATATAAAATATTGTCTCCTTACGAATGGACCAATATTATACATGAACATTTTTTTTTACACACCCGATTACCGTGTTGTTTAGTTTTCAAAAAAGCCAAGTTGAGTTTTCACGGGATAGTATTTTTATCAATACGTGGTCGATGCTCAACTTGTGGTTCTATTTTTAATGGAACTATTGATGAAATACCAGCTGTAGATACGAGGTTCGTTTCATTAATACTTAACAAACCTGTTTTAAATTTACTGAACTTAATATTATTCATTTTTTTATTGAACCAAAGTATTACCTATTGGTCCTTTTCAATTCATAATTTATGTTAGTGACCTTTTAAATTTAAAAATAAACGATGAGCTTATTTTGTATAGTTATTTGTTATGCTGATAACATCATAGTTCTAATCGAGAAAAAAAATTTAATTAAAATCCTCAACCACATAGTTTTAATAATATTAAAGTTTGGTATATGTGATAAAAGTTTATGTTAGTTTACTTAATAATAATTATGCCACAAAATTATTTTATTTTAAATATTGAAAAAATAATAGAAAATTTGAAAAAATTAAACTAACATAATATTACAAATAGTGTATTAATGAATACCTTTTTTTTTTTTTTTTTTTTCGTTTGAACCGACAGCAGAGGAGGATCTGTGTGAACACTACTACTCCTCTGCTGCCATCGTTTATTAATGTTTAATAAAAACGTTAATACATGCACATTCTCAACTCATAACTAATTATGGTTGCTTCACCTTAAAAATAAACAATAATACAATAGGTACAATACAATGCAATACAATGCGATACAATAAATAATAGTCAGTCAGTTGGAGCGGCTGCCACTGCATTCGCTCTTCGTTCGGTCTCAGCTATCCTTTCATCATGCTCCTTGCAGCTTAAAATGTTGTCAACCATGTCATAAAAGGACTGAGTGGCACGTTTGGAGGCAGCCCGTAGCCGGTCGTTCTCACTGAACGGGACATCGGAGGGGCCGCACAACAAATCCTGGACGTCTCCCGGGGTTATATTTCGGTCACCAACAAACATCTTCACTGGCAGCCGAAGCGGATCCCAGTAAGCACAATCAAATATCGTGTGTTCCGCAGTGTCCTCAGGGTGTTGGCAGTACAGGCAAGCCGCATCAGGGGCGCGCTTCATCCTGTGTAGGTAGTACCTGAAACACCCGTGTCCCGTAAGAGCCTACGTTACATGAAACGTGAGGTCTTTGGGGCATCTTTTCGTCCATCTTATCAGGTCCGGAAGAATCGTGCGCGTCCAGGCTCCTCTAACGCCCCGACTCCATCTGTTCGACCAGGCAGCAAGCAAGATGTCTCGCTCTGCTCTCCGGATCTCATCCTTTGTATCAGTTCTGTCCGGATCGTCAAGTTTACTTCGGACTCTTTTGCGTTCCAAAGCAAGAAGATCACCCGGAGGAGTTCCCGCCAGGAATAAGGCTGCCTCAGCCGAGACTGTGCGGTACGCCCTCGTGACTCTGAGAGCCGCAATCCTCTGGGCCCGGATCATAAGGTTTCGACAGATAGCGTACTTGCATGCTCTTTCCGCCCACGTTGGACAGGCTTACAGCAGCCTGCTGTTCACCACAGACATTAGCAGCGTTCTCTTAGACTGTGAGGGTCCTCCAAGGTTGGGCATGAGCCGTCCTATAGCCAGCGCTGCCTGGGACGCCTTCCCCGAAACAGTAGTGAAGTGTCCACTGAATGTAAGGTGTGAGTCCAGATGGAGTCCCAGGTATCGCAACTTCCTTAACAAAGGAACTGTGTGACCCCCTACAACGAACACCGGATCCCGATACGCCCACTTCTTAGTCAGCATGATGGCCTCTGTCTTGTGCCGTGCTAGTTGAAGTCCGTGAGCACCCATCCAGCCATCAATAGCGTCTAATGTGGGGTTGACCACCTCCTCCAGGGTGTCTGAAGTCTCTCCGACTGCGAGTAGGGCTAGGTCATCTGCGAAGCCTACAAGCTGAACCCCCTCCGGAACGTCCATCCCGAGAATGTCATCATAGAATACATTCCACAATGTGGAGCCGAGTACCGACCCCTGCGGAACACCCCCTGTGACCGGTCTGTCAATGCTGTTCCCATCAGATGTTCTAATGGTAATTGTACGATCCTCCATGTATGACCGTAAAATTTTTAGGAGGTATCGAGGGACTCCTCTGCGTCGAAGAGCCTCATCCACATGCTTCCATGGCGCAGAGTTGAAGGCATTCTGAACGTCGAGTGCCACTAAGACGCATAGTTCCTGACTTCTTGAGGGTCCATGATTGGCCCACTTAGCCAGGTCAGGAACCTTATTGATGGCGTCCTCGGTGGAGCAGCCCCTTCGGAAGCCAAACTGGTTGGTACTGAGTCCACCAGCCCTCTCTAAGTGATCGTTAAGCCTGAGTAGGAGGATCCTCTCAAATAATTTCCCAGTGGTGTCTAGCATGCAGAGAGGCCGAAAGCTAGATGGATTAGATACTGGCTTGTCCGGTCTTTTATGAAGAAGTAGGAGCCTGGCCCTTTTCCACCTAACAGGAAAAACTGACTCGCTTAAACACCTATTGTACATTTTAACAAATATATCGGGGGACCTATTGGCAATCGGCGAAAGCATCTCGTTAGGAATCCCATCCAGCCCGGTCGCTTTGCCCCTTGACAGTCGTGAGACTGTTAGTCTGGCCTCCTCTGTGGTGATAGGCGGGCACTCATTACCATGGTTTAAGTTGTAACCTTCGGGAGTGGTGGTTGGAAAGTTAGGGTCTACTTGGCTATCCATCGGCACACGTTGCCAATTGATAATTGGCATAGTGGGAAATAGGTGATCAGCAATCTCTTCTTCGCGTCCTATTGCAGCTAAACCTGGTGGCTGTCTGCCCAGCCGCCCCGAAACAATTTTGTATGGCACGCCCCAGGGATCGTTATCTACCGATGCGCAAAGAGCAGCCCAGCTAAGCTTCTGTGACTTGAGGATGGAAACGCGTAAAGCCTTGCGTGCCTCTCTGAAGGCAATTCTTTCCGCTGTACTGCCATCAGGACCATGTCTCTTAACCACTCTGAGATATATGCGCCTATTCCTTATGCATTTGGCCCTAAGATCGGCAATCTCGTGGTTCCACCAATGAACTGCTTTCCGTTTGTGGGCTCCGTAGACTTTTCTGGGCATACAAGAATCGCAGGCATTAACCAGATAGTTATTGAGAACCTCTGCTGCGTCATCCACCGAGGCAGGCTCCTCCAAAACCGGTGGTCCCTCATCCAACTTTCGAGAGAGCGCAGCGTGATCGAGCTTACGTGTGGCCCATCCTAGATGTACACCCCGTCCCATGGGTATGTTATCGTTAAGCGTTCGCGAGTAGGGAATGAGGTTGAAAGTGATGTAGTTGTGGTCGCTACCGGAATAGTCATCGAGGACCTCCCAGTCCACTACCTCGTAGGGGCCCGGGCCCGAGAAGGTTACATCAATGACCGAAGAAGACGCCCCTCTCTGGAAGGTAGGGTGGCTTCCGACGTTGTCGGTCCAGAGTCCAAGACTTGCGGCAAAGGATTCAAGAGCTTCTCCTTTACTATCATCTACACTAGAGCCCCAGTAAGTGGACTTAGCATTAAAGTCACCAGCAACCAGGAGAGTTTCATTCTCTCTTTCCCCCCGTCGTATAGCTTGATCAAGACCATCCAGGAATCCCTTAAAGGCCTCCAGGCGGTCCGCAGTAGAGTCGCCGTTGGGGGTCCAGTAGCAGCTGAATGCTCTAACATTCCCAAATCGGAGCCATGCAAAGCCCGGGCCAGAACCAGACTCCTCCGCCACAATGCCCGCAATGGTGGTCAGTGCTATTGAGCACCTCCCGTCTGAACTAGATGCCCAGCTGGGGTGGTTGCATGGGGATCTGTTGTGCTCACTGAGGATGAGGAGGCCAATGTCCATGTTCAGCACGGTTCGAGAAAGTAGCTGTTGGGCAGCCCAGTCGGTGTGGAGGTTGATTTGCAAGCAGTGAATCATTGCTTCGAGCGTGTTCCATCTCCGCTGGCTTCCCGCCGAGACTGCGCTTGCGAATTGTGCCCAGCAGGTATCTTGAGCGCCTCCTTCCTGGCTTTGCACATACCTGAACCTGGTTTATGTTCAAAACGTTCAATGCCTGCTCTCTCACATGCAACACATCGGTCTTTGTCCGCCAAATATTCTCTAAGTTCGTGTCCTGGTTCTCCACAGCGTCTGCAATTCAACGATAAGTCGGGCCCGGAGCAATTATCACTCCAATGACCGAATCCGTGACATTTGAAGCACTTTTCGGGTTCAGGACGCCTAGGGCGAACGCGGCACATTGTCCATCCAATAGGGACGCGGGTTACAATAGCAGCAGAAGCTCTGGTCATTCTGGCGGTAGCAATTTGCTGGCCGGACCTGGTGGACCAAAGGCCAGTGATATGAACTGCCTGTCGTTCGCAAATTGCAGCATGGTCGTCTTCGGATCCGGGTATTGCCGCCCGCAATGCCGAAAGAACCTCACCCTCGGTCGTCACTGCGTCGAGGTCAACAATTTCAACAACAGTAAACTGGCTAAGCTGTGACACTCCTCCAACCGCATCACCCAACCTGGTGGCTATGGCCGACGACAATTTCTGGGCTGCTACTACAGATCCCGCACCTTTGGCTAACTCAACCAGCAAGTGCCCATCCCTGGTTTTGCGCATGCCAGTAACCTGAGCTCCAGCTCAACCAAGTTCACCTCGCTGTTATTCCTTACTGCACGAACGGTGTCCGCGTGCGACGAGCCGGCAGCCACCTTGACTAAAACCGCCGGAGGCTTAGCCCTGAACTTCGCCCCAGTCCTCATAGGTATAGGGAGGCCCATTGCTCTTCCACTGTGCGGAGCTGCAGTTGCTTTCCTGCCAGCAACTTCCCTCCACCCTTCGCCATCCGTCTCCATCGCCGATTCAGCTCCAGTATCGGCGTGATTTACCACCGCTGACGGCCCCCGTGAACCTACCTTGGCCGATCGTCTTGACGACTCCTTCTTCCGGCGCTCCTGCTCGCTCTCCCACCAATTAGGAGTCAGAACGGTGTCAGTTCCGACGTCCACCATCTCCGGTCTATCGATGTCATTTCATTTGTACCTATTACTTTTACAATTTCATAAATCATATTTCAGAAACTTATGTTAAATTTATTAACCTCTTTATTTGAATTTATTTACTCCAAACACAAGCTATGGAATACTAAATACATTTGTTTTTGTGCATAGATTTTTTTTTTTTTTTTTAATATTAATAAACATTATTATTATTATCAATCCAATACTTTTATTTTTAGAGTTATAATGAAATGCTCATACAAAGGGAAGTTTGATATTCCTCACTCAAAAAAGAGAAAGTTGATGGGATCAAAAAAAGATGAAGCATTAAATCAAATTATTAATAATAAAATAAGCCCTTCAGTCTATGTAAGAAATGAAGCAAATAAAATAATGAAAGAAGGTATGCGTGTAATATGTATTATTATAAGTAACATAACAATTTGATAGAAGGAAAAATATGCCTGAAATTTTTATATTATAGACTATAGTGTCATCTAAACAATTTATTTTAAAACTCTGTAATCATATTTGTGTAAATTATTATAAATTATTTTATAGTTCGAAATCCATTCAATTTTTAATGTCCGTACATAAGGCTAGACAATTTTAATACTAGATTCATCAGAAAAGTAGTTCTTACTTTAAAGTTTATTTTTATAAGACTCACTGGGATAATGGCTATAAGTATTTCATATCTTAATTGATTTGCATGGTTTAGTAAAAAGTTAAAACCATTATTCATTATTTTTATTTTATTATTTTCAAAAATTGAAGATAGTAATTTCATAAAGTCATGATCTTTAATAATTCTTTTATTAAATAAGTATAACCACATAAAACCGGTATTCGTTCGGTTAGCGAATTCAACAATAGGTACGCGTAACATGTGTATGTACAGTAGGTACATGGCTTAACTAAAAGTTATCAGAAATCATGTGAATAACGGAAATAAAATATTGATATGTCGATATTTTCAAAACAAGAAAATAATATTTATAAAATGGTTATTTTAAATGTTCAAAAATAATAAAATAAAATATAATTTTTATAACACTTTTTCCAAAACATTAAATTCATAATATGAAATATTATATATGTAACTCTTATATCTATGCGGCTTATAAAATAAAAAACAGAATTACATTATCTTCATTATGTAAGGGGAGATATCATAATGCGTAAATCTTTAGGGGAACACCTATATAAATATGTTGTTTGAATATATTAATGTATATATTTTAGGTGATAGTTTGTCTGCTCAGATTCCAAGCATTTCAAGTCTTAAAACAGCTAAAAGTAGAGCACTTGCATTAACAAGGCTTCATTCTGATCCAATAAGCGCTTTAAACATTATGAAGTGCAGTACAACATATAGTTCCACAATTCGGAGTATTGGTCATAATGGTTTTTATGTACATTTTTGGAGTAATCTGCAGTTACAAATTTACAAAGAATGTTACTCTAAAGTCTCAATTCCGTGCATATCATTTGATGCTACAGGCGGATGCTGCAAACGAATTAAAAGACCAGAAGGTAATCAAAGCAGCCACTTGTTTCTATACGAAGGTATTATGAACATAGATAGTAAAACATTCACAGTATTATCTATGATCTCGGAACAACATGATACCCTAAGTATATATATTTGGTTAACACGTTGGCTAAGATGTGGTATAAAAGCTCCAAAAATGGCTATATCTGATCAATCTTTAGCCATAATGTCAGCACTTATTCAGTCTTTTACCCAATACAAGTCACTTCAAGAGTACTTGGAGGTTTGTTTTAAATTTGCTGTCAATAAAAATGAAAATAAAAATAAAATACCTTCATGTTATATCAGAAATGATATTAATCATTTTGTTAGTTTGATAGCTAAGTGGGATACATTGAAACAATGTAAATTTACAAGAACAAAGCAATTATTTATTAGATCAATGACACTTCTTATATATTGCACATCTATGAAAGAAGCTAAACAAATTTTGGAAGCTATTTTTAAAATTGCTCTAAGTAAATATGATGGTCCACTTTTAGTACCAACTGAATACGAAAAAGACACTCCTTGTGCTATAAGTAAAAGATATTTACAAGATCTAATTGCAAATAAAGCATCATATTTACAAGTTTTCGATCATTTAATTGATGAAAATGAATCCACAAACGTAATTAATCAACAAAATGAAGAAAATGAAGATCTTAGTGAAGAAATTACTGGTTCTTTTAAGAATTGGGCATCAATAATAGCAAATGATTGTCTATCAAAAGTTGAAAAAATCGAAGGCGAGTTTGACAATGCTCAATATACACCGGAACTAGTTCCCTTGGTGATCAATGCAATGAAGTTGTATCCTTGTTGGTCCGGAATTATGACAACAATATTTGGATATGGAGAAGCTACTGTTTCAAGTAGCCGTGTTGAAAGTAACTTTTACCAGATTAAGAATAGATTATTTAAAACAGAACATTTACCCATTAGGGTGGATGATTTTGTACAAAAATTAGTATATTATTATAAAGGTGATAATTTGCTGTTACAAAATGCTGGATTATTAAATAAAAAATCTTTAAATAATAATAATAACAAAACTAATGAAGAAAATACAGATATACAGGATTATGACATACACAAAGAAACGGTTATAGAGGGTTGTGAAGACATACACATAGAAACTGATTTGGAGGGTTTTGAAGGCATACATACAGAAGCAAATATAGAGGATAACGAAGACATACAAACAGAAACAGATATAGAGGATAATGAAGACATACGCACAGAAACGGATTTGGAGGGTTGTGAATGCATACATACTAAAACAGATATTGAGGATAACGAAGACTTATATACAGAAACAGCTGATAGAGATGGAAATATTGAAAACATGCAAAAGGAAACAGTTATAGGTGATAATGAAGATAATATGCATGCTGAACCGGAAGTAGTAGTAAATGAAGAAAATAATATTTCATTTTGTTTACCGTGTAAAAATGGAGATTTTCCGACAGGAATACATAGATGTGTAAAGTGTAAAAAATCAGTACATTTATTTGGGTGTTCGGTCAGATATATTCACAGTGAAGAAGGCTATGGACAATCAAGGGTATGTTTATCGTGTGCTGAGAAAGATAATGAAAATGTAGCTGAAGAACATTGGCAAAAAAGAGGAAAATCAACTTCATTATCTCTCTGTCGATCTGCGAAGTCATATCTTGTTTCCCAACCAGGATTTGATAAATTAAATTTAAACCAAAAAGGTTGTGAAAAATCCATATACTTTTTAAAAAATGGAAATGTTCTGCAAAGTAAGCCATATAATTTACCTCAAATAGGCAAAGTTTTGCTAAGTAATACTTGTTCTCCTGATTCTTTACTAACAATTTTTGCATGTGCTGCAGCTGATAGTCAAATATTTTTTAAGTACATAGCATCGTTGATTAAAATAGATAAAACTGCTAAATTCATAATAAATATGATTGATAGAAAACGAAACGGAAATATATACAAAGAACGAATATCATTATTAGCTCCTTATTATTTACCAAATAATAAACAGCTTGTTGGAGGTATAACACTATTAGACGCAATGGATACAATAACTTCTACAGCAACGAAATTATTACATCAGATGCCATCTTATAAAAAGTTGAATCGATGTACTGATTATCTTTGTTCTGAATTTGCTATAGATAACACCAGTCAAGTTATTCAGTTGAATGCTTTTGATGGACGTATCGATATTCAAAAAGAAATTGATTCATTTACAAAAGAAGAAATTACAACATGCACATACTGTAACTCTCGAAGAAAAGTTACATTTAGTACGAAGACCCATATATTAATCGAACTCGTCTCTCTGCCTGAAGGTTAATCAATCTTTTTACATTAATATAAAGCAAATTAATAAAATTGAATTGGATTTAAAAATAAAAATGTAATATATTGATTTTTTTTCAGAACTTGAAACATCTACAAGTGTTTGCAGTATTAACAAAATAGATCAAGTACATCAAAACTATGCCGGTGAAGTATTGTTGACCACAGACGAAATACCTAAGGTATTACATGTAAAAGGGATAACCTATTTCATTAGGGGTGCAGTCGTATATACAAGTGGAAATAGAACTGGACTAAGAGTAAAAAGTGGACATTATAAAGCATATTGCTTTAGGCCCAACGATCGCTGGGAAATCTATGATGACCTACAAGAAAAAATATTACCATCTAAAAACGAAAAAAATAATGTTGAATTGCTATTATATACAAAATAACAGAAAAATAAACTCTTTTTAATAAAATGTTTGATTTTAATTTAAATAATAAATTTGAAAAGTTATAACAATTATTTCGTGGTTTTGTTATTGTTATGCATATTTAAGATCGATTAGAGCGGGAAAATATGTGTATAATTGAACTTTCTTGTGGAATTACTTGTTACAAAGTAAAAGTAATAGTAAAAGTAGTAAGTAAGTTTTTACACTTTTTATAGACATGATACCAATTCCTAAGTTGGTGATACAAATGGTAAAATATATAGTACAATTAATGGTAAAAAAAAAATTGTTAAAAGTCCATTTTTTAGCAACGGGGGGGCTGGTGTAACGTCTGGCGCTCCGGCGGAAAATCAATTTTTCCGGGGAAAATACTTTGGTACAAATTCTGAAACTTATGGTACAAATCGGTACAAATTATAGTACAATTAATGGTATAAAAAAAATTGTTAAAAGTCCATTTTTTAGCAACGGGGGTGCTGGTGTAACGTCTGGCGCTCCGGCGGAAAATCAATTTTTCGGGGAAAATACTTTGGTACAAATTCTGAAACTTATAGTACAAATCGGTACAAATTATAGTACAATTAATGGTAAAAAAAAAATTGTTAAAACTCCATTTTCTCGGAAAAATAAAAAATTCGAAAATTGGGTGCCAGGGTAACCCACCTCTCATTTAAAGTTAATAAAATAGTGATTGAGTAAGTTCAAATATGGGTACCTTACTATAATTATACATATATTATAATATTTTTTTATTTAAATTAAAAATAGTAATGTGTTAAAACTCCAATATAGTTATCTCAAATCCATATAAAAAAAAAAAAATAAAATAAATTAAACAATAACTAGAAAACCATAATAGGTAATATAATATAAATAGGAAGAAATACTTATTTGCTACTTCATAACAGTTTTTCATTTTTTTGTCCCCATACTACCTCATTTGGGACATAATTATAAAAAGGGTTCATCGAAGTTAATTACCCTGTTGTAGTAAACCGACGGAGTCGCTTTCCTATATTCAATATTTTAATTACATTTCTCATGATGCGGCACGCTGGACAACAACAATACTATTAATCTTTTTCAATACCTTGGGTTTGGCAGTTTAATTAAAAAATTAATTAACGATTAATTTACGGATCTTCGCTTTATCAAAATAATGCGAAAACAAACCTATTAAAATTGCCAATAAGCCACTCGGGTCTTTTGGCAATAACAACATCTAGCTCCAGGCTCCTTTCAAATATCCATCTCCTAGACTCTACCGTGTACGTTTATATCCGCATAGATTTCATATAAATATAAGATGATGTCTATTGCAAAATTAGAATTAATTTAGAGTTTGCACTACGTACACACTGTACGTAACTAACTTCTCGGGCAGATGCTTTTCGCTCTGTCCTCAAATTTATATTACACTTAATTGTGATCATTTACTTTTTAAAACGTTAATAAAACTACTTATACCTAACTTGTGTAACTTGTCTCTGCAACCTTTTCTCCTATTCAACCGTCAACGTCTTTGAACTCAAAAATATAAGCGTTAGTGAGGGATCACTACACTGTTGATATCATTTAAAATGTCTAAACTACCTTACTCTTCTACATAAAATAGATTTCTACTAAACCATTATTGTCTAATTGAATGCTCTGTTACAGCAGTTCTGGCTTATGAAATAACCTCAGTATGCCTTTTTGCTTTATCTTTGTGTCTATTTAAAAATAATTTAAACCATTTATACCAGGCAAATTGTTCCTGAATGGATTTTTAATTGCAAATCCTTTAACAAATTTTGTATCGAGTCTTTAACATTGTCTGGGTGTACAAGGAAATCAAATTTAGCTTTAGCTAAAATTCAATTAGCAATTTTATTCTCTTCAAACTGTTATAGGCCAGTCAAATTAGGTTTGAATTCGGAATTAATTAGTGGAAAGCTGGAAATCGTTTTAATTGCTTAAGTATAAGTCTAGTATTAGGGGAACATGTTTTTCCCCCGCCTCCGAGGTTAGCCGCTGGCCGCCATCTTGAAAAAACAGCTCTAAAATCGGAGTTTTTTTAGTTTTTCGATAATTATTCAAAAACTATGAGTTTTATGAAAAAATGTCGTCGGATCTAAAACATAGAACGCTAAATTCTCTACAAAATCAAGTCCAAAAATAATGATATCGGTCTAATATGAAGGTTCATAAGTGACGTTAAAAAAGTACGTTTTTTGAAGTTTTTTAAAAAAAATTGATTTTTTTTTAGTTTTTTAAATTTTTTTTCAAATCCGTCAATTTTACGACAAAAAGTCATAACTTACAATTTTTAGAAATTGTAATTTTACGTCAAACAGTGTTATATTCATTAATTTTGAGTAAGTATCAAGGTCAATAATAGACTTTGAAATTTGACTCTCAAATCACCGGTTACAAATGTAGGCGTTGCAATACGTTTGTAACAAACTCGTATGTAATTTATCGTAAAAAAAACCAATCAATATTTACTCCTTTATACCTACTTATAAATATAGTTAAAATATTATGAGTATAGTTACTAAGAAAATAATATTATGCAATTAAATAATCGTAATATGTGATATATTAACTTGTTTTACACAAAAAATCTAAAGATATTGTAATTATTTAATTTTAATTTACATATATACATATATATATATATATACAGGGTGATTTTTTTATCGTGAACCAGTTAATATCTCGGGAAGTATTAGTAATTTTAAAATAATTTTTTTTTTAAACTTTCTAGGTTTTACTATTTTACACTGTGTTACAATTTTGAAAATTTTAACTTCCTCCCTTATTTGATAAAACACTATCAACTTTCGATTTTCAAATGGCAATACCTATTTTCGATAACGAAAATCTATAAACATACTGAAAAAAAAAATTTTAACGTTTACAGAATTTAATTTGAGTAAGCCGTTTACGACTTATTATTGCTGAAATATTCGTTAAATTTACTGCTACTGGGCAATTTAACAACCCAACTGTAAAAACCAGAAGTCAAAACGAAATTTTATCTCAATTTAACAATACCCATAATAATCGATAATAACTAATAAGTACAATAGTACAAAGGTCACACGAATTGGACCTTAATATCTTATCACCCCTCCCAGCCGAACACATCCGATTGTCCAGTGAAATAGTGAATACTGAATAACACATTGATAATATCTTTATTATCTATGGAATAACATGACAAAATAAATAGATAGGACATAGGTACCTATGTCAGCAACAATACGAGACGCAGTCCGGTTAGCGCATCCCACCCTTCTCAGTTCTCAGCCATAGTCGTACTTTGTCTCATTTCATTTGGCGAACCAGCTTATCAAAGGGGTGTGGAGTGGTCGATGCGTATCAAAAAGTTGCTGACATACCTATCTATTTTGTCATGCTCAAACCGTATTTTATAAATTTACCATCATGGTTACATAATATAGCACTGGTTACCAGTGGCTTGCCGAACTGACAAGCAGACCTGAGGCAAACAATTTGATCAGGGGCCCCACCACCAACAGTTTTTTCACTTTTTTTTTTTTTATTCAAAATAATAAATATTATTAAGTTTTTTTAGGTATAAGTTGCACATCTATACTAATTAGTAATTACTAACACACCCACCCACCTACCCGAATTTTCCCTGAAGCAATTTCCTCAAAAAATTACTATTCAGCACGCCTCTGCTGGTTACTGATCCCTTGTATACGGTCTTATCACGTATAAACGATAATAAATGCCGGTAAACTGTTTCTGAAAACATATTGTGGTTATTGGTTAATCGTTAATGTTAGTTTCCCATTATCAAATATGGAATAAATAGATGATATTATGATAATATGTAGTATAATTTATTTAAGTTTATTATTTGTTAATTATACATAATACAGAAGTATTTATTTAATATAATTTATATTTTTATATCAGATTGATGTGTTATAACTAGAAAATTACAAAATAAATATTTTTTAAAACAATAATATGGTGTATCTTAATTTACTATAGTAAATGATTATATTAAACAGATAACATTTATTCATTTTAAAACAAAGTAAATCAACAATTTCCATGTATTTAGAAAAATAATTCATAAATACACAGATACAAATGTATAATTTATGTACTTGGATTCAGAATTTAGAGCCAGACTAAAGTAGTTAAAACTTAAAGGTCTATTCACACATTCCTTTTTTTTTAGTTATACATTTTTACAACGCCCCTATCATTTAAGGTTTTCATTTCATTAAAAATAAATAATTACAAATCAATCCAAGTATACTAAAAAAAAAAAATAGAATATGTAAGTTATTTTGATTACAAATAAAGTGACACAACAAATAACCAATATTAAACTGATATTACAATGTTTTGTGCATCAAGGAATTGAGTCCTGTATTGTCAATCTGATGTGGGGCTATAGGCCGAGAACCCGTTGTTCATAGTGCCTACCTGACTCTCCATTTATAAATATTAGGTATTCTGGGATTTTTTTATAATGTATAATTTGCATTTTATATCAAACTATCTTGTGTGTGAATAGACCAAATAATGGACATTAATTCAATACTAAATTATCAATGGCAATAAACACATTAGTTATCAATAATTTTACTAGAGTATAAACAAATTTCCGTAGTGCAAATTTTTGCAGGATTTGGGTAAGGTCATAACTAATAAAAAATATTAACACTTAACATGTCCACTACCCTAGATAAATTAATAAAAATTAAATGAACATTGAACATACTTTATATTATCTACTCTAGATTACAGCATATTTTTAGGGCTATGGATGTCTTAAAAAATTATTCACTTTTACACTTATTTTTGAATTTATGTTATTTTTTAATTACAATTTTATGATATAAAAATCTTTTAATATTGCATAAAAATGACACTAGGTATCATATAAAAAAAAAATTTCCAATTTACCAATTCAGTTTAATAAAAACTCCATAGCCCTAATTATGGAAATTAGTAAATCAATAACT